GGCGACTGTACGTTCGTCCGACAGTCAATCCTTCAACTTATTCTCCACTACCTCTACGCTTCAGACGCGGCCCTTCTCGGGGCGAATGTACGCTCGTCTGACAGTCAATCCTCCCACTTCTTCTCCACTACCTATGTACGGGAGTACACTATTCCTCCCATCTGGCGTCCCACTTCAGTTCTTTTCATACACAACTGAATCTGAAGATCGCACTGGCCGTGGTCTTCTCCACTAACTTAAGCCACTGCAATAGTCCAGTTCTTTGCAGGAAAAAAGACTATTTGAGGGCAAACATTGCGAAAACTGCACGAATCAATTTCAGCCCAAATCTTCTCCGATTAAAAGAGAGTTAATTTGCATGGCCCGTGAGCTAGAAACGATAACTGAAATGACTTGAGTAGTGACAGCGATACATACTGTAGACCGTCATATGACAGGTTGTAGCGTGATGGCTCGGAGAGTATGTGCCGACGCAAGATCTTTTTAAATAGAATGCTCACACCTACATTCAAACAACTTCTTGTAAACCAATGTAATGAGTGAGCTGATATCACAGCGAATACGTAGTCTTGCAATGAGACACATGTAACGTACACGTGACTAAGAGGACTAAGAAGGGGACAAGAGATAACCAAATTAATATGATGATGCGGCCGTTTCTGGGTCCCGTTTCTGAGTTCCAGATAAATATGTTTGAGGGTTATGTTCTAGGTGCACCTTGTGAAACAGTCGAATGATCTAATTAAAGGCGGTTACTCAGCAACTGTGGAATACGACGACTAAATAATTTCTTGGGAGTCAGATTAATAAAATGAATAAACGACGCCAGTAAATTCAAAAGCTAAATGGGGATCCTGTTTCTTTTTTCGATTCAAACCGTGAACTCAAAATATGAACAGTGTGGGACAGCAACTACTGCTATCATGTTACAGCAGTTCCTGATAAGGACACACCAATTCTAACATTATTCACTTTTTCATGCTCTCCTGCAAGAATCTACGTCAACTCACACGCCTGTCGAGCTTCTATGTAAGAACCACGGGCAAAAGTTTATTTAAGATATCACCACGTCCATATCGTTCAAAGAATTGTGGCCAGTTTCACATTTCTACTTTCGTATTCGCTATATTTATCATTGGTTCTTGATCTGCTCTGATTCAGTTAAAGCCGGCTTATTCGGT